TTTTGATGCAGTGAGATCCAGGCAGTCGAGTAAATGATTATATCAATTTTAGGAGGAGGAATAACAAATTTCTTAAATAAAAATTAAAGTTTAAACAAAATTAAAATCTATCTTATTTATTAATTTATAATGGAATGCAGAGTATTCCATATTGTTATATCTAAGGGATGAAGTAGTGGATATCAGAAAAAAGTAGAAGTAAGATATAAGAAGTATAGAGGCAGAAGAAAGAGTAAAGAGTGAAGAGTAGAAAAGAAGTAAGAATCAGAGTAGGCACACCGAATATATATATATATATATATATATATGTATATACAGATATATTTGTAGCAATAGCCAACAATACATTGTATAGGTCAAAATTACAGATTTTAAAGTGCCCCTATTATGAATTTTTGAAAATTACCTTTCATGCAGTGTGTAACACAGCTCTAAGTGAATGAAAACATCCTGCAAAGTTTTAAATCTGAAAGTGCTCTGTGTATAAAGTTATTGTCTCTCAAAAGAAAGAGTCGACTCTGAATCATTGAAATCATCGTTTTTAAAACGAATCCCAAGCCGTTTCATGTTGATGTAAACATGAAACATTAGCGTATTGCCCGCCACTTGTTGGTCTTTTCGCGTTGGTCTGAATGAAAATGCAAATTCATTCTTTGCCACTAGGTGCCGCTTTTGAAGCGGTAGAAATAGCTGTTTCCCCGGTAACGGCTATCCACCTTTTTCTTCAAGGCCGAAGTAAGTCTATGGGTGAGACTTCCGGATGTGCAGTAAACGGTAAAACTGTTTGCACTACAAACCAGTGTGTTCATAAATAAGATAATACATTAAAATAATATGATAAGACACACCGATTTTCAATATCAAGCAGCAAAACGAACTGTTTTGTACAGCTAAAAATAGCTGGATGCAGATGAGACGGAAGCCAGACCCATAGAATTTACAAATGGCCGCGCCCATTTTTACGACAAGAAAAAGGTGGTAGCAAAGCTGCACTGCACTCACAAACAGGCATTACAGGCATGATGAAATGAAAATGAGACCAATTGACCAATCACCGCAGATTAGCATCAACTGGTGTTTGTCTAATAAGAAAAGGTCAAATATACTTATCCATTATATCATATGTTGTTGTATCGATGATAGGTCAGGTTAGGCTAGGTCATTTTGACCAGTCAAATTTTGAGTTTAAAAATAGATGTGTGTTTTCACAACTTTACAACAAATACAGCAAAACGAGCACTTTCAAATATGTCTTACATAATACAAAAACACAGTTTCTGGGGAAAAAAAAAATATAGTACCATTGATGACTAATTCTGAGAATCATCACTACTCAGGAAGTAGTTGGAAGATGTCCATTATCTAACAAAACACCAGTGCAGAAGATATAACTTTCAACCATATATAAAATGTGCATATTTTGGCATAAATTATTACATGGATATGAAAAATCAAGGAAAATAACAACATTGATTATT